ATTTTTTCAAACAGTGCATTTGATACTTAAGGACTTCAAAAAAGTTGCAGTAAAATGTCTGTTTATTCTATCTTCAGAACAAGTTCATAGGCACTTGGATCAACATGAAGTGAAATACTTGCAATTTGCTTTCCGCTGGATGAATAACTTGCTGATGAGAGAAGTCCCTTTACGCTGTACCATCAGGTTATGGGACACATATCAAGTAAGTACTTTTTTAAACCTCTGTAACTCTGACAGTGCATTTTGGACACGCCAGTGTGTTTGTGTTTGTTTTTTCTTGAACCTTTTGTTTTAGTGTCATCTGAGAATCGTCGTAATAAGAGAAAAAGCTTTCAGTGATCATTACCACTTAGAAACATTTTATGTCTTCAGTCTTCTTGCCCTTCAAAACCAAGCATTTGTTGTCATGGTAATTTGTAGTAGGAAAATGAACACTCACTCAAAGCATGGGTTAGTGTCAGTACTCCCTTCTGTCTCTTCAGAGAAGCAAAACATTGAATTGTGCTTAATCAATGCCCTCCATCGATTCTGAATTGCAGGCTGCTTACTGCCTGTATGCCTAACTACTCAATCCATTGCTAGCTTCCAGTCTCCAGTTCTCAGCATTCATCCTTCTGTCATGTTTTCTGTCTTACTGTTTGTCCAGACAAAACTCCTTATGTTACTGACCTCTAGGTGAGGTAATTATTTTTTCTCAATAATTTATTGCCTGACTGTCAAGTGAAGGAATTGATACCAGAGAAAAGTTGTTTACCCGTTCTTAGTTCTGTTACTTGACGTTCCAGTAGTTTCTGGTTGCAACTGCTAACTGTGTATTTGAACAATAAGCTCTTATCTACTCTTTGTTGTTGAAGTTAATGGGGGGGAAAGAAATGGAAAAAAAATATTATAAATTCCGTAAGAATTTTCAACTGATTTAGTTTAGTAAATATGGGAATAACTTGAAATTTATAACGTCTCGTAAAGAGACATAACATCTTTAAATTTCAGTGTATTTACATCTGCTCATTATGCAGCATTGCTTAGTTAGTTTCATAGACTTTAATGCCAGAATGTCCACTTAGACTGTATATTCAAAACTCTAATAGAGGGTTAAGTATTGTTTGCTATTCATTTAATGAGTCCAGTAAGTTGTTCTAGTGAAGTGTGTTATATAGAACGGTGTGTAAATCTGATAAGAAAATGTTAGGAAATGAGGGATCTATCACTTCTACTGTTAATCTGTCCTAAGAGGTGGTATCCTTGCAGGTTTTATTTCCTTGTTCCTCTTCAACAAATTTCTGAATTGGATTTGGCTATTGCGTTTACCTGGGGTCCTGTTACATCTCCTTTGTCTCGTTGCTCATTTTAATATCTGTTATTACCTGGCATTTTCTCCCAGTGGAAAATATTTAATCTTTATAAGATCTTGCTGATAAACTGAAAGATTGAGCTATTTAAATGTTTCACTGTAGCTAATTTCTCTCATTTTGAATAATTTTTGTTGCTATTGCTGCAGCATTTCTAACTCCTGAAGGTTTTTTACCATGCTAACTTTAGCACTGCATTTGGTATTTGGTGATTAGTGTCATCAGTGTGCTAAAATGATGTAACAGCTATTCCTTAATCCAGCCAACCATGCATATGTATCCAAGGAGTAGCAGTTTTTGCCCAAACTTCACTTTGAACTCATCTGTGAGCTGTAATTCTACGATAATGTTGAGAAATTTCTTTTGAAGACCGAGCACATGGTTATTTCTCAAACTAACTGCTGCCATGCTGAAAGGAGAGCATTTCTCATTGCTGGTCCGTAGCCACCTGTCAGGTTATGCTTCAATGGGATCTTTATTCATAATAAGTGGTTCTGATTATTTAATTTCAGTTTTGAGCGAATTCTATTGTATTACAGTAATTGTCTGTAATATTTAAAAGCTTAATACTTATCTATTTATGTGGGATTTCCAAGTGTATCTTTTAAGTGAAAGTTTCTTATACCTAAATACCGAGATGGCATTCTTATACCTTAGTGGGATTATTTTTGTATATTAAACATGCCTAAGGAGTAATTCTGTGTTTTGACTCAGCAGGTGCAGATCTGTGCTGTTTTCTGGGTTTTGTTATTTAGCAGACTTCCTGTGTTGGTGCATAGTGTATTTAAAACCAGTAAGGATATCTTAACATAGACAGTCACCTATATTGCCAACCGTTTTTATGAAACAACCTCAAGCAACTCCACAAGTTGCTAATCAGATTTCAGTTGTGCTTATAGCAAATTTATTATCAACCTATAATATGCATTTGTCAACCTGATAATATGGATAATAAATGCAGTGAACTGACAAGAAACGGTAAAGTTTGTGCAAAGTTCTTGCTAAAGTGTTAAGCAATAACATTATAGATTTTTACACAAATAACTTGTTACTAAGCCATTCCATTGATATGATTTCTAACTTAATCATTTACAACTGTATCAGCAGTGCTGCTTTCCAAATGGAAAACACACTCTATAGGTGGAATTTCTTCCATTAGTTTTATCTTCTGATTCATATTTTTAACTGTAAACCTGCTATAGGCCAAAATGTCATTTAAAGATACATTGGTAAAGAAGTTTTTTCAGGGGGTCTAGCTATGGTTGGACCTGTGATGTTGGATTTGAAAGAGAAATGTAAAATTAGTAAAGGCAAAAATATAATAGAGGATCTTATTTTTGAAAGAAATTTAGCTTTCCAGATACAGATAAAAGGACCAATCCTACTAATAATTTTAAGGGCCTGGATAGATGTTTAACTGCTGTTCTCACTGTACTTAACGTCTGATGATGCTGTTATCAGGCTTGCTTTTGCTACCTCATGTGTCCTAAAGCATGGGGATTAGATTTCCACACCTATACCTTCTATTTTAGCAGCTACTTAGGATGTGCATGTACTGACTTCTTCACCCCGATATTCTTGAACTGCTGTGAACAGAAATGCCTTTAACTGCAGTATTAGTTCAGAGTGAAGATAAATTCATCATGTTCCAATGTAGTATTAGCCACGGCATGGACTGCAGGCATCCTTACACTGCTGATGTGAGGGCTTTTGCTCAGACTCTAACATATGGCTCTCGGGAAGGGATGGGGCATTTCCCAGGGCACTGTTTACAGGCAACTCTACTCTCAGTGTGTGACATGATTCAGGAGCGGTGCCAGAGGAGGGTCAGGGTAGGTGGCACAGTCAGATTCCTTCATGTGGAAGGAATGGTAAGACATGTAGGACTGTTGTATTCTTTCATGTCAGCACCAGGACTGCGCTCTGGCTCCCTCATTTCCTGCAGAAATCAAGGGTGGTGGTGGATGGATTAGAGAAGGATCCTGCTGCTGATGGATTCACAGAAAAAAATATTGTGTCTATTTTGTCTTTCCCTCTCCCCATCAAAGCTGAAATACTACCTTGTCTCACTGAGATGCAAGTTTTCCTCTGTTTGCAGTGGAAAGATAAATATTGTGCTGTCTCCAGCTTAAATTCCAGATTGGTCATTCTCAGAGCAGGCCCCATTTTCTCATGAACTGCAGCGGGGGGGTTTCAGGGGAATGACAGCACACTTAAATAGTCTGCTGTTACGTATTTCCTAGCACAATATATAACTGTTGTCAGGAGTTGTTAGAACCACATTCTGGATCTCAAAATTTGTTGCAATTCTTCCATTGCCTTCAGTGAGAATAGGATTGCACACTTAAATGATGTCCATCTCTGTCTCGGTATGTATGGTTGCAAGGGTGTACTCTAACTGGTGTCAGATATTCTGTCTAGTTTAATTTAGGATTCATCAGTCATTTGTTAGGCTCTGCGAAGTAAATCATTGAACATATAATCCAAAATATCTGTACCTGAGCTAGTTAAAGTTGAGGGGAAGAGAAATATGGAAGGGTTCCCAAATCCTCACTTCAGTAAATACTCTGGTATTCTGTAACTGTATGTATGAAATCCACTAAAATACAGAAGGCCAACAGCATCCTGGCTTGTATTGGGAATAGTGTGGCTAGCAGGACTAGGGAAGTGATTGTCCTCTGTGCTCAGCACTGGTGAGGCCACACCTCAAGTTCTGTGTTCAGATTTGGGCCCCTCTCTACAGGAGGGACATTGAGGTGTTGGAGTGTGTCCAGAGAAGGGCAACAAAGCTGGTGAGGGGTTCTGGAGCACATGTCTTATGAGGAGCAGCTGAGGAAACTGGGGTGGTTTAGCCTGGAGAAAAGGAGGCTGAGGGGAGACCTTGTCTCTCTCTACAACTACCTGAAAGGTTGTAGTGAGGTGGGAGTCAGTCTCTTCTCCCAAATAAAAAGTGATAAGACAAGAGAAAACAGCCTCAAGTTGTGCCAGGGGAGGTTTAGATTGGATATTAGAAAAAAATTCTTCATTGAAAGTGTTGTGAAGCATTGGAATAGGCTGCCCACGGAAGTGGTGGTGTTGCCATCCCTGGTGGTATTTAAAAGATGTGTAGACGCGGTGCTTAGGGACATGGTTTAGTGCTGGTTTTGGCAGTGTTAGGTTAATGGTTGGACTTGATGACCTTCAAGTTCCCTTCCAACGTAGACAATTCTATGATACTATATCACTGTCTGCTGTAGCAGAACTTTGTAAAGTAGAAAAATTAAAGACAGTACGCATCTTGCTTACAAAGGATATGTTGTGAGAAATTCTTAGCCGTAAATATTTAATTTGGTTTATTCTTTAACCTGAATTGCACTTTAGTGAGAGTGAATTATCCCACTTTTTCACTTGATTTGGTCTTTGCTATTTGTTTTTTAAAGGTAAATGCTGTAAATACCTTGTAAATTCTTTCAAAATAGATATTGCTTGTTAAGTTACACTGAAGACACTCAAATCTTAAATCTGCAGAACTGATTAATATGAATGTTCATAGACTTTTTCAAATGTGAAAGATCCCACAAACCAAAACAGTGTAACATAACACCTGTTTTATCTTTTTGGTCTCTCTTGTCTTTTTATCTTACATTTTGTCATCTTTTTTGGCATAAAGGATTGGTAAAATGAGATAGCATGATGGCTGAATTATTCAGCATATATAAGTGTTTAACATATTTATATGGACTTATGAAATGCAAATTAGTTTTATATTTGTTGCTTGCCAGAGAGGCATTTTGACACTAATTTAAAGATTGATTTGTCTATTTGAACCTGACTTCTGTTGTCTTCTAACTCTGACTTAAAAGATTCAACATAT